ATATCTTAGCTATATATAATATGATATTGTACAATAATAAAATAACTACAATATGGTTTATATTTTAGAATATATACAAAGAAATATATATATATATAAAATAAAATATTTAACATAGTTCAAAACCATAACTTAATTGGAGACTTAAACAAATGAAGAAAGATCCTAAAAATGATGAAAAAAAAAAATTTAGAGCAATATCAAAGGGATATTTAATATATACAAGATGAAGTTGAAATTTAAAAAGTAAATAAAATAAGAAAAGAACGTTGGAAGAATTTTAGTATTAATATGAAATAAACACAATTCAATATTAATTAATCAAAGTACAACAAAAAAAAAGACCCAAAAGAGGATTTCAAAGCCCTATTGCATGAAATGGCTTTTAGAAGAAGAAAAAAACTCAATGTGCAGTATTATTGAAAATATTGCAGAACAAATTTAGGCTTTAAATATAATTCAAAATTCATTTTTTTCTAAAAAATTCTTTTTTAGATAATTTCAAATATTTAATTTATTTTATTTATTTTAAAATTTTAAAATTAATAATTATGCATAAAAATTAATTAATTAAATAAATTTCTAAATTTTATATAGTTATATTAAAAAAAATTATTAATATACTATAAGTTATTCTTCTGAAGTCAAATAAGATTTGTAGAAGTAAGATTACTAATAGGCAATATCTTTCTATTGTATAAAAGAATAATTAAGCTTTTTAAAAAAAATCCAAGAATAAGGTGAAATTTTATGAAATTCTAATAAGTTATACTTAGATATTAATTCAAAAGTCTCAAAAGATTATTTACTAAAAATAAGATTTTAAATAATTTTAAATCAAAATAATATTTTTTAAAATTTTATATCTTCTTTAATAAAATTAACTAGGTTTTTATTAATTGTATTTATTGACTTAACCTTCAAGTGTTTGCAAGTCTATGTTACTTGGTCCTTTCTTATTCTATTGATCAATGTATAGATCAATTCTTTTATAAAATTATTTTATGCTATATACTATAAAAACTTTTTAAATTTGGTTCAAAGTTTTCAATACTTATTTGTATATAAATATCATTTTTATACCAAATAAGTACTTAAAGACTATATATATATATATATATATATATATATATAAGATTATATTTTGATTTACTTCAAAAAAATTAATAAAAAATATAGATATTTTTTTATTATTCATTTAAAACTTTATTGAAATTTTATTTTAAAATTTATATCATATTGAAAGATTTATAAGAAATAGTAGAAATGCAATATTACATAAGCATTCTAAAATCTTGGGAGATGTCACATAAAGATGGCTATACTAATGTTAGAATTTTAATGAAAATCTGGTTGCTAATGTTAAAGCTATATGAAGTCTCTTATTCTTCTAATAATTATCAATCTTTCTTGTTTATAATTATTATGTTGATACGTAAAGTTTTAATTTTTATTAAGATTATAACTAGCACAAATTTGGAAGTAGATTGTCCTATATTTTAGAAAAAGGAAAATTGGCACTACCTTGATGCATTGACTATCTTAATCAATGGTCTAGAATCTCTATTCATTTTCTTCCATTATCAAGGTGTTCTTTCTCCAATGTATTACATTTTTATTAATAATTTATTTTTATCTAGATCATAAAATTATAGTTGCTAATTGATTGACTTAAAAAGATTACTACATTTTTTTGTTTGAGACTAAGTTTTGTCTTTTTAAAGTAAAAATTTATTATTACTCCAATCAAATTATGTATTTATTTATTTATTTATTTTTATCTAGAAATTTTTTTCTCTAAAATTAAAGAAATTAAGTTAATTTATAAAATAGTAGAAATATCAATCTATTCAATTATTTATTTCTTTAAGATCAATTTTTAATAAAACACATAATATTTAGAAATATAGTATTATCTAAAGATCAACTATTTTACATTAAGTTATCCACCTATTTACACAATTTTTTAATCTATAATAAAATAAAAGTCCTTTTATGTGCTTCAATTTTGTTAAACTCAAGTGACATTTTGAAGAAAAAAAAGCACCTCACTTTGCAATTCAGTACTACTTCCTTAAGATATCTTTAAAAGATTTCAACAAGAGTAATATTAGATAAAATTATTTTATGATAATTCTTATAAATTGCTAAATTATGGCACTTTAACAATCACTTGCTACTTATATTTTATTTTTTCCAACTTCTTTTATTCATTCTTTCTCTTATCTATTTTTAAACATTATTTTCTAATATGTACCACTCTTTTGTTTTAAGACCTAATTAATTATCAATGCCTTATTCTATTCAATATAAGCTTTAAATGAATTAATAGAATCAAGTCAATTGGATTGAGTTGACTCAATTGTTTAATATCTTTCTAAATTCACTCAATTGACTGAATTCTCCCATTAATAAGAAGATTGAAGCCAAAAGAATCAAGAACATAGGTCCTTCTATCAACATAGCTAACTTCATATCAAAAAAAATAAATATATATATATATATATATATATATTTTATTTCTTGTAGATAAAACTTTACAAAGAGTAGAAAATTAAATACTAATAGTAAAGGATATCAAATCAAAAGAATAATTTAATATAATAAGTTAATATTTTTATAAAAAATATAAGTCAAATATATAAAAGTGATATTTTTTAAATATAAATATTATCTAAAATTACCTAATAGTCTAAAATAATAATAATTAAGGTAAAGAATTTATAGATTTTTATCAAAGAAGACGTAGAACTTTAAAAATATATAAATATATATATATATATATATATATATATATATATATATATATTATAATATAATGTATTTGGTAGTTGAAACAAGAATTTTAACAATAAAAAATAATTATCTCAAACTCTAGAAAATAAATAAGGATTATAAAAGAAACCTAACTTACTAGTGTGTATTATAACAGTTGCATAAAATCAGTACACCATACAAAAACCACTTTAACACACATCTATTAGGACATGTTAGATGCCTTGGAGACTGACAAGAAAATAAAACAAATCTTTTGCAACTTTTTTTTGGTCAAATGAAGACCACATCATAAAATTACATATTCTTAGAAGAATGCACAGGACAAAACTCACAAAAGAAAGTTTTTTTTTGCAAATAGAATTATAATTAGGATATAATTAGTAACCATACTAAGAAGCATAGGTATTTGGAGAGCAATAAAAGCAGATATTACATCAAAAATAAATAGTAGCATTTGGAGGCATATTCTGAAAACTTCGGAATGTAAGAAAGATTTGTTTAGCCAAATAAGTATAAAATTTATAATATATATATATATATATATATATATATATATTTGCATATTTAAGTTGAAGCAATGAAGACACTTGTAGCAGCCTGATTAATTTGCTATCTTGATATGTATATTTATATTTTCAATCATCAACTAAGAAATAATATCACAATCACCTTAACATAAAAAGATTGATTCACATAAAATATTAAATTAAACAATAATTATATATTTTTTATTCTATTAAGGTTTCTAAATAAATAAGTATATTCAAATAATTATAAAATTAAAAAAAAGTATAACCTTGTATCTCATTGGCATTACCATTAACTACCAAGAAAATAATAATAACTCTACAACTTATGAATATATTTTTATTTTTATTTTACATCTTTCAATATATATATATATATATATATATATATATTTTTTTTTTTCTTTTTTAGAAGTTACAAATTTATACAATCTAATTGCAAAATCACTACATCTACTTTATTTGTTCATACCACTACATAATATGACATATTCAAGTTAATATGATATAATTTTGATACATTTCAAATTTAATATCTATTAAAACTACATCATCTTTCTACTAAAAAAGTAGTTAAATTAGAAAAACATATAATATTTAATTTTTAAATTTTAATATACTAAAAAGAATATATTGTCTTTAAACTGTTAAAGAAAGATTATTGTTAAACATTGGTAGATTTTCAATATTTAATTTTTAATATTTGATTAGGTGGTGTTGAAATAGCCACAAATAACTGCTTTCGGACTATGAGCCATAAAAGATATTTCTTTTGTTCAAATATTGACCCAATTTAAGAATATAGGCAAATGTTTTTTATTTTTTATTTGTATTTACTTGTCTTGATAGTTTAAAAGTTATTAAAGCAGCTCAAGGATGACAAGGGCAACAAATATAATTTTTTAAAAATATTTTATTATACATAAAATAAATATAAACACAAAACTAAACTTAATCTTGCCACCATTCAAGCATAGTGAGACACCTCACTATGCTCACCAAACTTTCTAACACATATCTTATTCTTGAGATTCAATGATTCATACTCAAGGAAGAATTTTGGTCCATGTAAGGTGCCCCTGAACTTTGGGACACCAAATAGACAATTAATAGAACCCTTTGCCTAAACCTGATGAATGATAATCTACAAGACAGTACTTGTGTAGCGGATTGAGCACTGAGGTAGTCTTACAGGAGTGGTGTTGAAGTTAGACCGTTAAACTTAGAGTATAAAATGATCCATGAGGGAATTATATGTTATTGGATATGGCCTGCCAATCAGTTTGAAGTGAAGGGTCGCACTCTGTAATTTTAGGATCAATTCAAAGGCCACCAATTATACGCGCTAAAGGCAAGTTCATGTTTAGAATTTATTTTATACACACTGTCACTGGAAGCCTAGCTGTAATGAACGACAATGAGGGACTAGATTTGGGGGCTTGGTTGGTAGGACAGCGGAGTTAGAGGAGCACTGAACGCTGAATGGAATACCGTGTTTGGCAGAACTCCCACCCATGATTCACGTGGCTAACTACGGTGTTACAGCTTTCCAGTTTGTGGGATGTCAAATTACTGCTTCCCGGTGGAAGAAGCGGAAGGAATCTAAGCTGGTGACGATCTGTAAAGCCTGAGAGGGAGAGGAAGGAATTGAGAGTAACGGAGTGATATGTTACGTGATCGGTAGGGAAGAGTAGCTTATCTTCAAGGAGAGCCCACCTTCAAACAGGTAGTTTATTCCAGTCAAATTCAGTTTTTGATAGGCCTAGCCTGGATTGAGGTTTCACACTTCGCTGGAGGGAAGGAAACTAAAACTTCTCCCCTTTTGACTAATCAATGCACCACAATATTCTACAAGTTGTTGTGGCCAGCCCTTCAACAACTGCACCAAGAATGGGGAGAAACTAATCTGTACATGCACACGGGGATAAGAGAATTATTCACACCAACAAACGCTATCTTCTGCTGTTAGTGTTTTTCGCAATAGTCTTCGGCTTCCTCGGCCTCAACACAGCCTTAGCAGCAGGCAACATCGACTTCCCACGCCCTGCTCTCTCCATGTGGCTGAAGCAGTCCATACACACAGACTTGAAAAAATCTTCGATGAGGTCAATATAAAACGGCGAGTTTAGCTTCATGTAGCCCGCAATGAATTGCTCCACGTCCATGTTGAGCTCGGGGACGTCCGCACCTTCAAGCATCATCCTTGCAACCTCGTTCTGAAACGCAGACACGGCGTCGGAGTTGGGATTAATAATAGTCCGCAATCTGTCGAGGTCCTTGGCAGACAAGTTTATTTCCTCCTGCAACTCCTTCAAATCCTTCGGCCCCGGTGGCAAGCCGCCGACTCTGAGACCCTTCCGGTTGCCATACTTACCAAGTAGAACCACCACTTTCGCTGCCGCGGCAGCCGGATTTTCATCACTCTGATATGTCTGAAGGCATGTCGACAAAGGATTTTCCTTTTTAGTGACCTTCTTTATCGTCTGCTGTTGTTTACCGAGCTGCAATTCTTTGTTAGTTCCCTTGCGACCGCAACGTGAACATAAGTGGTCTGTGGTGCAGCTTGTGGTCTTTGGCATCACTGGCAAAACAGCCTTTTTCGGCGGTGTTGGCTGGGTCTTCTTTTTAGCCCCAGATTCCTTGCGCCCATGACTAACAGGAATTTTCGTTTCACTTCGAGGATTGCTCTTCATACTTACAGGACTTTTGCTGACACTAAGAGGGGACTCCTTAACATGGTCCGAGAATTTAACGGTTCGCGACGTCGTCTGAAAGGTCTTTCGAAGACTGTGAAGAAGTTGATCCTCCTCAAGCATGCTGTTGTGTGCTCTGGATCGCTGCAACACCGACGAAGTATCTTCGGTTTCTGCGCACCACTCTTGAGAGTCCGAGCTGATGCTATAGTCACGGCCTAAGTCAGACTCCGACACCGTGTCATCTGTTCATGTACAAAGCATATCTGGTTCAGATGGCAGGATTTGAAAACGTGGCAATGCTCGGACATGAGACAATCAAACTACTCTGATGCCAGATCATTTAGATGAGAAATGCGTTGGAGAAAATGTCGTCTGTACAGAGGAAGAAAAGAATATTGAGAAAAAAATTTGCTAGCATACCTTGCAAGTCCATGTCCACGTTCATATCTTCATGCTGAGACGAGGAAATCGACACTGTGTCATCAAATTCAGGGCCTTCTCCGCTTTCCTCAAGAGACACATACCCAATTTCGAACTCCCCAAACCTACCTGATAAATCACTCACATAGCTAGTCCCCTCCTGAGCAAGGCTCGAGTTCAAACTTGTCCGGGGAATGATAGAAAAACTACTCGCATCATCGTCGTATACTTTGGATTCGAGAGTCGATCCCTGGTATGACAAGCCAAATGGCGAGCTGAAGCTGCCATTCACTTTCATCATGGAGATCATCGTCGTCTCGGAGATGCTTGTGTCTGTCAAGTTCATGCTTCCTTCCGATAATGTGTCATAATCAGTGCTTTCCGCTGCCAAGAAGGTTGCATTTGAGAGCACGACGGTGCCTCGTCTAATTCTTTCCTCATATTCCACATCTTCTGCCACAGCCATGACCTTCCTACCGCAGGCCGAGAAGCTCGATTCAATGACATGGGGGCCCGTCTCCACATGCAACTTATCCGGTTGATCAACCTGTTCCGAGGCTGAACCTTGTGTGAACTGCTTCAACAGCGAAAGCAACCCTCTTTTTTTTCTCTTCGGTTTTACAAGAGTGTTGAGTTCTCGTTCTTGTTCGGTTTCAATAACGTGCCTAATCTCTGCCTCCTCTTCAATCTCCTCTTGCGCTCGATCCATCGATTTCACCGACTCTGGACTAAGGGGCGACTCCGGCACCCGGTGCTCGTCTTGAGGATACGATGATTCACCGGAATGGTCCGAAACAGCAGATGGCTGAGCTGTCGATCTGCGACCTTCCACATTGGACGTCCGTTGGCTGTCAACCAAAGGCGAACTGCAGCACTGATGGGACATATTCTTGCAAGTCTCGAATGGATTTCTGAAAAGGTAGGATTTGCCTGTGTGGCCGGAATCTGATCCCTTCCTTTCGAGACTAGATTCAACAACTGCTTGCTGTTGCATCAAGAGCTCGGCTCTCATTTCGCACATGGGGCACATCGTGATAATTCGGGCACAGCGACCCTTTGTGCTTACACTTCAATCGGAACCTTATCAAAATCGCCTCCCAGCATCTTTCTCTACCTCCAGTCTGTGTTCGCCATTACCTGGTCCGCTTACACATGCACCGCGCACGTATCCCCCCCATGGCTTCCCTGGCTTCCTGAAGAATTAGTGACTACGAAATTTTTCTTTACCCCTTCCGTGGACCATGGTAATCGTGCATAGTCTGTGAGACCAGCTATCTTTCTACAGGTCGCATATCTCGAGCCTACGTTCGTGGTCTGCAAGTGGCAGACCTTTGCCACGTATCTCCAACGGCGATGGGACGGACGCTTTTCTGCGATGTTTGGTAGTCGTTCCCCATTAGAATTTAGAACACGCAAGGACCTGATTAAGAAGGGGACGGGATTAATATTACTGCACATGCGCTGTCTTTCGTTGAGGAAATTCAAGTCTATTGTATCATAGAAGCGTAAGCCCAATTCAAAATCGACCTACGTAGTACAAGCTCGGCTTCGTATTAATTCTCAACCAAGAAACGTAAACTAGAAATCCTTCTTCCCAATGCACTACAAACACGTTGCAGATATCAATGAGCTCTAAGAGGGGCAAAACGTTTAGACATCGACAAAACTAAAAAAGGTGGTATACTACAAACTAATATGCGATTATGTTGAATCTGCAACCTTCATTTTTTGCATCTAGCGTGTAACAAGTACAAATTGCTACAAGAACGACTTGACTACACAGCATATCACTTCAATATCTTAAAAGGTTTCGCAAGGTCTACCACCTCCAAACTATGTCAAAATGCTGCCGGCCATTACTCGCCACTTACAACCGTATCAAGCACTCCAGGAAGTTCCACCAATATCCCAAACCGCCCCGGATGAATCTCCAATGGAGATACTGACACAATCCCAGTGGGCCTGGGCAACCTTAGAGAACAATGTGACGCTGGGGGGTTGTGTTCACGGGGAATTGGGGATTCCTGAACAACTTCTCCTAGAAAATTTTAAGCGATTCTTCAAACTGGAAGGCTAATCGAAAATATTAGCAACAGTCCACTCAAGGCGCATCCACATGCTTCTGATTCATACATCAGAATAATTGTTGCCCTTATTGTTATTCTTCATTAAATGACTCCTCTGATATATCTAACGATCCAAACAGAAGAACCGGTCATCTAATACCATTTTTTTTGCCCCATCTGCAATCTCCTTATTAATGTCTCCACCACCAGATTCCCGACTAGATGACAAAAACTTCCAAGCACCACCAGCTGCTCTCTCTACTACAACCTCGTCGAGCACTTGGCTAAAGCCTGCAAACGATCACACTGCGTTTGCAGAACGGGAAGTAAGAAAGAAATCTTAAAAAACAGGTCTACATGAGTTCCAACGGACCCAAACCAACCTCATGAGTCCGCAGCTAAGAATACCAGTCGCCTTCACGTGGATCGACGAACTTCACGAGTTGGAATGGATTAGTTGGCGAGGGTGTCCAGACTTCGACAGATGATAGATCGAAGCCGGTGACATAGGCTATTTACCAGCTACACTTCCAAAACTCCGATGAGAGCCGCTCAGGAGTCAAGGAGAAGAATGAGGATCCGCCCAGAGATGGCACGACGAAGGCGGCGCGGGATGGGCGAACACTCTGGATCAAACAGCGTTCGGATCTCCCTCTAATAGTAAACTGTTGTAGTGAACAAGGCACAATGGTGGTGCGTCGCGTAAGCTCCGCAGCACTCTCATAGTAGTCTTGGAATGCTGGTTAGTGAGATTTCCGCGACTAGTTTCTCGGGAACCCCCCCCCCCCCCCCCCCCCCTCCGTTTCGAACAACTGCCGCTTCAGACGTGAACCTCCACATCAGTTCCTTCGGCTCTACGTGCACTTTTTCAGAGATGGAGCTTTTGAACTTGTGAGTGACGTCGCGAGTTCTGCGGTGTGGCGATTCTGTTTCGCCTCCGGATGTTCCGATTTCCCGTTGGTCTGGGTCGATCGGCGGTCGTGGAGACCGACACATGTTTTAGACCAAAACGCCTGCGATCCGCGAGTTAGATTGCGGCTGATGATGAACATGCTTCGACCTGCAGTCGCTGGCTACTGTGTGTTTTGAATATTGTCGGATGATGATGACGATTTGTAAGTTTAATGATGAAGGCTGCAAACATGTATCAGATTGGTGATAAGGGAAAAAACGTCACTGATTTGCATTTTATAAATACAAATACATACATACATACTATTCGGTGAAATGGGACTTATTTGGCTTGTAAAGATATATTTGGGTATTTAAAGTGTGTTCGTTCGAATATGTAGTACGTAGATTATAAATATATATATACATATATGGTTGGGTGTGGGAGGCCTCTCTGCTACAGACCTGAAATGCCACGTAGCAAGGTACCTCAGATGCCAGGTCAGGTGGTACTATATAGAGGGAGCTGAGAGAGTTTAATGGGGAAAGTACAAAGCAGTCTGTTTTGAGAAGACTCGTCTGTGGACTTTCTGAAGAACAGGAGGTAACGAGAAGAAAAAAAGATGTAATCGACGGAAATTAAACGTGAAAGCTACACAAAAAGGTCAAAGGAATGAACTTTTATGTGTATATGGTGTTATTTGTATGTATATTGAGGTAAATATATATATATATATATATATATATATTGTCATACATATTTATGGTGTGTTGCTCATGCCACCATACTTTTTGCTACTGCCATCACAATTTGTTACAACATGTCCTTTATATATATATATATATATATATATTTATTGTAAATTGATAAAAAGGAAAGATATTAGAAATACTAACATAAATTTTTATTGAAATAAAAAAAAAACTAAAAATATATTTCAAATGGGTGGCAAATTGTGCCAATTGTTGCAAACTGCAAAGTTTGAATTGGCATTGCAAAATAGAAATGTACATCTCAAAGTTGTAGAATTTTTTTTGTTTTACAAAGATGTATTATAAAATACACTTTATGAAAAAATATAAACTGGTAATGATTGACAAACTAAAATTTGATCCACGAGTTATAAAACAAATTGTAAAACTAAAAGTATCAAATGCATGTGCTTGAATTTGATGACTCAAGCATTTAGTTGGATGCATTCTTAGTAAATGCTAATTTTATTTGTTTGTGGATGTAAACTTGTATAAAAGTTGATTAAAACCTAAATAAAGGATTTATTCGGTTACAAAAGAGTCAGAACATTGCAGCTTGTGAAATAAAAATGGATGTCAATGCTACGTTTATTAATGCCTTATTATTATTTAAACAGATATTACTTTGATATTCTAATTTCTAAATTACCTATGTTCCAGTGACCTTTTCAAACTTAAATGCCTCATTTTCCTTCTCTTCAAAATCGAAGTTTAAACTTTGATATAAAATAAAAAATAGATAAAAAAATAAAAATAAAAAATACACATTTTTTAATGTTGGTCTTCTTATAATCAAACACATAATTTCAAAAAGAAAAAAGAAAAAAGAAAAAAGAAAAAGTTGGTTTTTAAATAATAAAGATCAAACATTTTGTTTTTCAATCTCATAGATTAAGTTGTATTGAATTATTTTAATTTTCTGGTTTTACTTTTTAATATAGTATATATAATTTTAGAAATTTTTAATAATTATGTCTTGAAAGTTTTAAATATCATTAAAAATCTTTTCATTTTTTTTTTTTTTTTTTTTTTTTTTTTTTGTAAGGTTTTAGATATACATTTAAAAATAAAATTTTAAAAAAATACTTGCACACTACATGTAATAAGCCGAATTATGTAAATATTTGTGTTATATTTAGATAAATTATAAGTAATATTTCTTTTACACTTGAAAAGTCTTGTAACAGTTGTAAAGGAGATCAAATTTCTATTAAAATATGAAAAAATATATCTTCCAGAGCTACATGCTACTTCTGTAAAACCCTTAAATTCTTCTAGTACTAGGAGATCTAAAGATTTTTCATAAACACATGAATCTGTATCTATTGACGTTTGAAAATATTTAGATTTTTCTTTGTCTACATTTATGTCAAGAATGCATTCTTGAAATTCTTTTAAATATTATTTTACTTATGTTTCTATTTTATGCATTTGTAAAATACATTTATTTTAAAAGACGTTTCTTTTAATATACCATTAATATTTATGCTTCACTATATTTTTTAATATATATATATATATATATATATATATATATTTTGCATGTAAAATTATTATTATTTATATTTTGAATACTGAACAATATTTTTAAGAGTCTAGTATTCAAAATATTATCATAATTATTTAAAACTTGAGTATTTTAAACCATGAAAAATAAATTAGATCTTAATAAAATTTATAAATGATAAAACTCATGTATAAAAATCATATTAGAAAAATACTATATATGTATATATTCATATTATTATATTATATATGTTATTTGATTTTTTTTACATATATAAAATATAATATTTTAAATATTTTTGTTTTTATGTATATATATATATATATATATATATATATATATATATATATATGTGTGTACAAATTTTAATCAAATTAATCAATAAAACATTATAATTAGATAATTAATATTAATTTTGTCTAAAAAACTTAAAGTCTTTGTTTTGTATAAATAAAGGTTGTTATATATAACAAATTAAGTGTCAAAAATTATCATCCAGTATGCAAGTAAAATCAAATAAGAATGCATAACAAACATACTGTCAAAGACAAGAACTCGATGAAAGCAAATAAATAAGTGAGACTCTCTCAAAGAAATATAAAAAAATAGAAATAGAGAAGTATGTATATTAAAAATGAAATTAAATTAGCTATTGCCAAAGGCAAATAAATTAGAGACTCTTGAAACTAGACTAGAAGCAAAAAAAGAATTGACAAGAGTGAAGAAGGCTTCACTCTTGCTTTTATATATACTATCTACTTAGGAATTATGTAGCAACTTTCTATAGGACCTCCAAAAATGTGTTGACTTTACATGATATGTATCTTAACTTGCAAGGCAAGTTTTCTATATAGATGCCACATAGTTACCTTATTCCATAAGCTATCAATATTTATGGCACATGCTTAGCTTGTTGACAAAATTTTTAACCTACCAATCAACTACAAATACATATAAAGTCATAATAGTGTCTAAAAAGCGTCTAAGAAGTTTTTTTTAGAAGGTATTATGAAATTAATATATTTTTACCTACTTCTACCTATTTATATAATTTAAATAATAATTACAATAGATATATGTCTAAGACATTACTCTTCTTTGTAGGGACGAGTTCCTCAAAGAGTGGTAATCACATGTTGAGAAAGTCTAAGATGTGGCAAATTATATTTATATTGTATTTTGATCTTTGTTCTCTTTGAAGATAGTTGATAAGTCTTCTTAGCCATTGATAATGTCCTATTCTAGAACAGGAAGACTACCATGTTATTTAATCATTGTTGTAACCTTTATAACATCCTTCAAATAAAACATTTGTAACACCATCAAGAGTTGTTCCTACCTCCAATAAAATCACTAAACATTGAGAGTTCCTTTTCAGATCATGATATCAAATGTATTATATCTTGCCATCTATTTAAAGAAAAATATGTCATTCTTGAAGGTCTTCATCCCTATTACATTGCCTAAAAGATTGTGATAATTGGAATGTTTCATCCAATAAGTCAGCAAATGATGGTTCTTGAATTGTATCCACTAGTTGTTGATTCTCTATTTCTTTGATGCCACAATTATATAGAAATTACAAATAAGGATAAAAGGTACAATATAATCTCTTTTAAATTATGTTTCTTTTATGGGAAAGGTTTGCTATCTTTTATCTTGATTTTGATAGAAGTCATTGATGAAAAGCTTTGACCTTCTCTTTATATTTATAAGATTTTCTTGTAGCTCCCATGTACATTTGCTAATATCATATCCGTACCAATGAATAAGATATTCCAACCTATGTCAGGGCTGCCTTGACTCTAAGACTTCTTTTACCTCAAATTCTTGATTATTATCTACTTCCATAAAAGGCAATGATATTTATCTTCTTCTCAAGATATTCATTGTCTTTAATGGCTCTAAAAGAAATACATAAAATATAGAATAGATTTTCATAGACTTTGATAGATGTAATCAATAAGTAATTGGATTGACTTACTTACAAATAGGAAATGATCTAAGTTTACAATAATCCAACTTATCACAAAAGCAAATAATTTTGATATTACAACAAAATAACCATACCTTATCACCAACATGAAAATGAGCTTCTTTTTTACAAAAATCATTCGTATTGCTCTTTTGTTGTTCTTGAGTTTTTTTTAGTTGTGCCTTTATTATTGTATGTAGCTTAGATAAATGATTTGCCAAATATTTTGCAACAAGATTATCAACTTTTGAAAAGTCAAAAGCATCAAATCACGGATAATAACCATATTTAATAAAAAAATATATATATTACGTAGAAGAATGTATCATGTTATTATAAGTAAACTTTATTCATAGCAAAAGAGTTATCCAATCATCTTATTGATAGTTGATGGTACACCTCAAATATTATTTCAAAACTTAATTTATACCCTCTATTTGTCCATAAATTTGAAGATAGAAATTTGAAGATAATTTTATATTTACTTTTAGAAATCTTGAAAAGCATTCTCTAAAATCTTAATACAAATTGAATTCTCATGTCCAATATAATATCCTTAGGCAATCCATGATAGGGATAGATGTTGTTAAAAAAAATCTTAGTTATTTCTTTATCTATGATAGTTTTTGTATATGATA